TACTACTACACCGTCATAGCTCCTACCATAATTACCACTGCACCCACGAGCCACGAACTAGATCAACCTGTCAAACGAAAGACTAAGTTCAAACTCTTCCCCGATTCTAAAACACCCTCTGTAGAAGAATTGCCTACGCAGCGTGCACCAAAACATAGTCTGAGCGAAAAGCCTGGGCATGCTGCACAGGGATCGACAGCGTCGCAGGCGGCGGATCCTATCCTATCGGCCTCTCAGAGTAACAGCGAAGAGCCCGGGCGTTTATCAACTACGTCGATCCGAAGCAATCGTGACCAGGCCAATGATTCTCAACGCTCCTCAGTGACAGATGCGCGGTTTTCGGAGTCCTCCCGTTCCGATCGGAGTGCTGGAGATGGCAATCCTCGTTCAGCCTCCCCTCGGGAGGGGGTGTCTGGCAACAAGCGATTTCGCATGCCGCGCTTGAAACGGCATCGCAGTCCTCTTTTTCCTTTACCACCAAAACCAACGGGCAACGACTCCGTCAACGGCCACACACAAAGCTTGGCCATATCGAAGTCTGCTGGCGATTCCGCCCCGAATTCCGACTTGCCGGAAGATCCAAATGAAGACCATATCTCTCCGCTACCATCTCCCACCCGATCGTCGGTGGGCCTGGCTTCGTCGCGACCGCCCTTGCTGAGAAATGATTCTGCAACCTCGGCTCATTCAGCCCGTTCGACACCGTCAAACAAGAGTCGGGCAATGCCTACGTCACGTACGAGATCGTCTACTTTGGATTCATTGGCTAATGCACGGGAGAGCGGGCAGTCATCGCCACATCTCATCTCAGGGCGGACATCAACCTCCATTAGTGGGCGAAAGAGTTTTGGGGATATATTCAATATCCCCCACCGATTTAGGCAGAATTCCGATTCCCCTGTTGGTCGGTCCGGATCCCCAGGCCTCAAAGGCCCAGGACCTCCAGGTTCGAAGCTTAGCTTGATCACATATCCCGAACGACAAGAGGGTGACACTCCGGCGACATATCTAACTCGGCTAGAAGAGAGCATTCCAAGAGGCGCGATTGCTGGCGTCCTGGCTCAATCAAACGATGACTTCTATAAGACTGCCCTGCGAAAGTATATGAGAGGGTTCTCGTTCTTCGGTGATCCCATTGATATGGCTATTCGGAAACTCTTAATGGAGGTGGAGTTGCCAAAAGAGACACAACAAATTGACCGCTTCCTCCAAAGTTTTGCTGATAGATATCATGAATGCAACCCGGGTATTTTCGCCTCCACAGGTACGTTGGTTGTCATCAGTGTGTCATTGTGTAAAGCTTCAAAATTGACGCCCTACTTTTCATCCAGATCAAGCCTATTTCATCGCCTTCTCGATTTTAATTCTACATACAGATGTCTTTAACAAGAACAACAAGAGGAAAATGCAAAAGCCGGACTATGTCAAGAATACTCGTGGCGAAGGCTTATCAGAGGACATCCTAGAGTGTTTCTATGAGAACATCTCGTACACTCCTTTCATTCATATCGAGGACGCAATGTCTAATGGCCGACAGTTTGTACGGCCCCGACGAACTCTGTTGAAGGCCACTAGCACAGATCACTTAGCTCGAGCCACCAGAGAACCAGTGGACCCCTATACGTTGATAATGGACGGGAAATTGGATTCTCTGCGCCCAAGCCTTAAGGATGTCATGAACTTGGAGGATACCTATTGTTGTGATGGAACTGATGGACCAGCAAACATCGATGATCTCCACCGCGCATTTTCGAAATCTGGCGTTTTGCAGATTGTGTCTCTACGGTCTAGGCCGGACATGTATATGCCATCAAGTATCGACAATCCGGCCGACTCTAACCCCGGGCTGGTGGATATCAAAATCGCTAAAGTTGGATTGCTGTGGCGAAAGGATCCGAAAAAGAAGAGAGCTAGATCTCCATGGCAAGAATGGGGTGCTCTGCTCACATTCTCGCAACTCTACTTTTTCAAGGATGTGACGTGGGTGAAATCTTTGATGGCGCAGCACGAAAGCCATCACAAGGAGGGCCGTCGTCGGGCGGTGGTTTTCAGACCTCCTCTTACCGAATTCAAACCGGACGGTATCATGTCAACTGAGGATGCAGTGGCTTTGCTGGATTTAAGCTACAAAAAGCACAAGCATGCCTTTGTCTTCGTCCGACACAGCGCTCTGGAGGAGGTATTCCTGGCAAATACCGAAGCTGACATGAACGATTGGGTAGCGAAGTTGAATTATGCTGCGACGTTTCGGACCACCGGGGTCAGAACGAAGGGAATGATCGCCACGAATTATGAAGCACAGCGGAACCGGATGAGCCGTCGGGGTTCAAATCAATCCAGCAGCTCACATCTCTCTATGGACAAAGAACCGCCGTCTCCAAATCCTGACACCGATGTGGCTGAGGAGTTGGTTACAGCTCGTAGGCAGCTTATACGCCAAAAGATTCGAGAGGCTAACGAAAAACTATTCGTTGGACAACGACAGCTTGATGATCTCTTGCGAAATGCAAGGCACTTGCAAATCTTGACGCCTGTGCACTCCAGGGCTAGAGAACATGTTATCATTGCTGCAGGGCGCATGGCTGCAAAACTCAAATGGGTTAGACAGGATATTTGGCGCACTAGGTGCTATAGAGAGGTTCTTGTTCGAGACATAGGCGAAGCGTTGGACGAAGAGAAGCCTCTCGCAGAGCCGAAATTACACTTGCAAATGCCAACAACCACCGTTACATCACAGCCAGAGAACCTGGATGGAGCAGGGTCTGACAGGGTGACGTCTCCGACAGAGGATGACCCATCCCCACACGCGGAGTCTGGCGGACCTCCCTCAGTCTACAAAACTCCGACATCGCAACCCGCTTCTCCCGACGGCCGGAGACCAAGTATACCGGCCTCCTTTGCTTCCCTCGAAGTAGCTTCCCGAGCTGGTAGACAAATGTCCATGGACAATACCGAGGAACGCGCGAAGTCTTGCTCGCCCCATCCAGCGAGTAGCGTACAGCGTGAAGCATCAGTGCTTAGCGCCGCTAGTAAGGTGGATGTTTCGAGCCTGGGGTCTCGAGCCTCTAAGATAACTGCCCCCGGTAGTATGGATGAAAATGAAGAGCGGCTGCTGCGTGAAACAGGTTTGCTTGAAGTCGGCAGCTCGCCTCAAGCGCGGAAGCATTCTTCAGCTACAAATGATAGCGAGGCCGACCAGAAACCAGAAGATGCGCAAGGCGCCCTTCAGGGAGAGAGAACAAGCCGTATCCGTCGCAGTTTTCATCGTACCCTTCGAGATTCCCCCAGCGGCCATCATCTACATTACCCTCGAAAGAAAAAGTCTCGAGATTCAGGATTCAGTATGGCGACGCCAGATGATAACCTAAAACCACAGCAAGGCGAAGGTCTGTCACGAAAGTCGACAAACTTCACTGTGCATGGCAAGAAGGCATCAATTGTGACTTTCGGTTCTGAGTGGCAGAACATGCCGCCAGAGGAGCGCCTCAAACTACGAAAGCCAACTCCATCAGACGAGCCAAGAGCATCAAATCCAGAACTTGCCAGTAGTGCAGGTTCTGTCGCTTCAGAGTCCATATACCCTGGCAGCCCACACCCTTTGCGAAGTGGGAGTATAGCGACCAAGGGGAGTGCACGAGATGATCCCTGGAATCCCCCTGAAGCAGCCGGAGCTCTATACCGCGAAGACAAGGCCAAGAGCGATGCTGCCATCGGCCTAGTTCCAGAACTCTCAGAGCCTAATGTGTTGGTACCGCCTGTCTTAACGTTGGATGAGCCGAGCACGGTGTCTAATGAAGGTGTATCGTCGCATCCGACTAGAGGCGACAATGAGAGCCTTGTAGAAAACAACACTCCACAGGGGATGTCGCCTAGTCCCCCAGAGCAGGCTGTAAACGCTTGATTTTTGCAATTTTGCAGGGTCTTTTTTTTTTTTTTCTTTTACTTTCATGACATTATACCCATTTCACTTTTCCTTTTCTTTCCATCTGCATCTGTCTCTTCATTAAAAACGACATATTTGGAAAAGCTTTATGAACCGTCTCCTATTCGCGTCAGCTCTCTTGATATGCTTTTTCGGCCTTGGTTAGAGGGCTCGTCAGAATGTCTGTCATGGAGCACTTACTCTCCCGTATACCTTCCCTCATCGCACTTCGCTCTTTTTCCTTTCCTTCTATTTCAAGTCCACCTTTAGACTAGCGGAGAATCGGATCCGCATTGACATGACCTACCTCTTTTCTTTTTCTATATTTTTTTTTCTTGATTGTTTGGCTTTGTATAAGCCCGAGGCGCATTTGCTTAGGATGGGCGGCAGTCGTTCTCTTTTCCATTTCTTTTTCCTACTGAGATACCATGTATCGTGTGGATGTTTGGCGTGATATGAGTATTGGAAGAACAGGCTTTAGCCAGCATGGGCAATAAGAACATGTAAAAACACCGAAGAGACCATTAAAATAGAGATTTAATAGCATATTGACTTCTGAATTTCTTGGCTATTTTATTTGCCTAGACGCCCTGCACACACACACACACGACATCATAGTCTGTAGCGCCGAGAACACAACAACACACACTTCTAGCAACCCTGAGAGTTCCATTCCTCCCAACACGCTGCCTCACACTGTCATCTCTTGGTGTGCTACCTGTTGAGACTTCTACAGTGTCGAATGTCTGTCTCCTTAGGTCCCTGGCCACACTAGCAATAAGACACATACAGAACAAGATAAGCTGGGGTGCTTCCTTCTTTCTTTCAACCTCAACTCACAAAGAGCTGAAAGAACAAGGTAAACCAGACTCTATCTTGTTTGATTCAATACCAGGTACTGTTGTTTGCTGCCAGAGAAAACCAGCTTCTTTGTCCCATATTCGGCTTTCCTCACTGCAACCACTTTGTTGACACAGATAAAGCAATTCTGCAGATATTAACCTGTTCATATCTTTGTCCCAACCAATACCCACTGCAGGGCACACTCCCCACGGAGAGCATAACTAGCTAAGGCGCCATGGACCAAAAGTGTATAGGTCACGAACTATCACGTGAGTGCCAGCCGTCACGCAGTGAATGTTTGCAAAGCAGACCAGAAACACAGAGGGGAAAAGAAGCCACGCTAGACGAGAATACAGACCTGTGCGATGTCTGTCGTGAGGGGGTCCGTCTCTCAGACCTGACACAGTACTTCCATCGTGCATTTTCGACAGTCACTTCCGCGACACCGTTCATCTCCATGGCTGTGGCAGGTGTTTTCAGCTCCAACAACCCCGGAGTCAAGAAGTACACGTATGAGGGGTCGCTGGTGCGTCGGTTCATTAGTTGCGGCGTTGGCGTCGGCCTTGTCACCACCGAATCTATCCCTGCTGGTAGTGTGGTGTTTGCGGAAGATGTGGCTTGGACTACGGAGGAGGAGTCCTCAAGGTGCCAGACGCCGAGGGAGATGAATGCTATGCTTGGGGCGAAGGTGAGGGCCATGGGGGGTGAGTGGCTGAGGAAGTTCCTTACTCTGCCGAGCTCGCTAAAGCAGGATTTGGGGGTGTTTGCGGGGATTTGGGATTTGTATCAGTTGCCGATTGTCATGAATGGGGTGAAGACTGGGATTGTGGGGTTGAATCTCGCGTCGGTCAATCATGCTTGTGTGCCGAATTGCGCGTTGACGATCATCAATAAGTATCCGAAGAATGAAAATGGAAATAATGACATGAGGGAGAGTCCAATGATTGGAAGGGCTATTATGCGCGCTCTCAGGAATATCCAGAAGGATGAGGAGATCACTGTCGCGTACTTCTATGGAAAGGGACAACAGAAGGCGAGGGGGTTGTTCTCGTGGACAGAGTTCGGCTTCTTCTGCTCGTGCAAAGAGTGCGTGCAGCCCAAGGATGTGATCGAGATTGCCATGGATAAGTATTGGAAGGTTGAGCGCATCTTGAACCACCCCGACACTGTCGACTTATATCCTGCGATAGCTTTCAAGTCCGCACATGAAGTGATCGGCAGGCTTCTTTCGTGCGAGATCCGCGATGCTCGTGTTGCGATGATTTGGGCCAAATGTGCCATGATCGCTGGTTACCATTCTGATATAGCGCGTGCTATGTGTTTCCTCGCCAAGGCATACCGGATGTTGGCTATTCTTGAGGGTAGTACGGGGGTCTTCTATCGACAGATCCTCATATGGTACGAAACACCCACGCGATGCCAGGGTTTGGAGCTACCACACGGGGACTTTCCACCGCTGCCGAAGGCCGATACATGCTTGATGAACGCGACGTCAAGGAGAAGCTGTTCATGACGGCAGCAAAGTCGGACGAGTACATTCACATACACCGATACCACCGCTTATCTGACGCTATGGCCAAACAGAAAGGCAGTAGGTACCTGCTTTTACCCGAGAAGCCCACCAAGCTAAAGGCGGCACCGGAATTGCTTGAACCAGGTGTCTCGAAATCAGCACACATGCCAAAGCACGGATATGGGCCGATTGCGCCAGAGAGGGTTCACCGGAGCGGCAGGGGCACATCCAATCTGAGACGGGGTAAGGATGGACCCAGCGAAAATACTTCGAAGGGGAAGCCTCAAGTGTCCAAGGGCCATAGTCAAGCATCTACCCAGGAATCGTCGTCAGGCGAAGTCTGCACTGATCCGGACTGGGATATGTTGGATCTTGTACGAGAGCTCATGGCTGACAATCCCGATCTATTCCCAGATTATCCTTCTCCTACTATATCTGAGGCATCCAAGAAGAAAAGAAAGAAGAAGAAGAAAAAGAGCAAGAAGGGGAAGGGCTCGGCTGAATTGGGAGGATATACTCAAAGTAACCCAATCGTGAAGGAGCTCGAGGCGGAAAAGAAGGTGGTGATGGTTAAGGAAGCCGGCGTTCGCTGTGCCGAGGAGGTTCCGGATTCCAATTAAATAGTTGGACCCGAGAGTGACAGACGATGGCCATTGCTCATCTCTCTTTGGAGTTCAGGTGAAGTTGGAAGGACATTGAATGGCCCAATTGGGGTTTCGGAATAAATGCGGAGAGAACGTGACGATTTAATGATTATGTCATGATTTCTCCAAATTATTTCATTTGCATGCTTTTGGCCTCCTCTTCTTCACTCTATTTTTCAGGTTGTCTTTTTTGTTTCTGTTGATATGTCATTTTTCTGGCTCAGGTTAGCTCAGGAGTAGATCAATCAACCACCAAGCTTTTCCTTAGGAATATCCTCTTGAGTCGCCCGCCACAATTGCAGCTCCTTCATCCTCCGCAGATATTCTCCGCTCCGAATAGAACCTCCCACTCTATATTCTTCTAGATATTCCAACCATTCACCACACACAATAATGGCTCATTCGAAACGCAACACCTCCCTCCCACACTTTACTTCCTACGAGCGCGGCCTCCTCCGCTCGCAATGGGGCACTCAGCGCGGCGTCATCGGCCGCGACTCTTTCCTTCCATTCGCATCTTGTCGCCTCTGTCTACACCCCGCTCGAGCACCCGTCGTCGCCTGCGCAACAAATGGTGATATATTCTGTCGCGAATGCGCCATAAATGATCTCCTCGCGCAGCGACAGGAGATCAAGCGACTCGAACGAGAACGGGAGGAGGCCAAAAAAAGGCTCGCAGAGGAAGATGAGCGGACGTTAGAAGAGGCGCGTGAACGGGAGCTGCGCGAGTTTGAACTCGTCAGTATGGGATTGGAGGTAGCGAAAAATAAACCTTCCGGCCAAGCGCAGGATGATAATCATAAAAAGCGGAAGGCCGAGGAGGCTACGGAGGCATTGGCTGCGTTTAAGGCGAGGGAAATCGAAGTGGATGGCAAGCGGAAGAAGGTGTTTGAGCTGGATGAAAAGGAGATGGCACGGGTTGCTCGGGAGGAACAGGAACGACTCAAACAGGATCTGAAGAAGGAAAAGGTAAGAATCGACGAGTATCCTGTTGGGAAGTACTATACTGACAGACGATAATCGCCAGTCTGAATCCAGCAAGTCAGCTCTACCGTCATTCTGGGTGCCTTCGCTCACTCCCAATACCGATCCTAATGAGATTGCGGCCAATAAGGCCGTTAAATTGAGCCCTGTTTGCCCCGGTTCGACAGATGAACACCGTCATAGCTACTCGCTCAAATCGCTGGTCGACGTACATTTCACCGAGGAAAAGGCATCCGACGGCACAGTGGCGCGGATCTGTCCAAGTTGTAAAAAGACACTAACAAATGGACTCAAGGCGATGTGTAAGTACAATCGCCCACTCCCGAACTTTTGATCGGCGGTGACCAACTGACTATTTACACTTATAGTGACCAAACCTTGTGGCCATGTTATCTGTTCGCCTTGTGTGACCAAATTCATGACGCCGCACGATGCACCAGACCCGCATGCTACTAAAGAAGAACAAGAGCAGACAGCTGCCCTCCATGGGTTAATTTTATGCTACGTTTGCGAGGCCGATATCACACCTCGTGATTCAACAGAGAATGGCAAGGAATCAGGAAAGAAAAAGAAGAAGGATAAGGAGAGCATTAAGCCTGGCCTAGTAGAGATCAGTTCAGAAGGAACAGGGTTTGCAGGGCGTGGTGGAAACATAGCGACCAAGACGGGCGTTGCATTTCAATGCTGAACTGGCTGCGTTCTACCAATTGCATGGAGTATGGTGTAACGGTTGGGGTATACTTTGTGAGATAGTTGGCATTGATAGACCATGCCGAACATTGGCAGAATGACGATCTATATGAGAAAAAATACAGAGGTACAACGTCCGACGTGCATGCAACCCGTAAACGCCCGGACGATATAAACCAGTTATCACCCCGAAATTATTATATCCAAAATTACACAAATCGGCCCAGGGTGTCTAGTTCCTCAAAGGACAAGAGCCACTCTAGCTCCGCTTGGCAGAGTTGTTAAACTCGCGTACGACAACGTCGCACTTGATTTCCTGGCAGAGACGCTTGCGGCGGTTCGTCTCCAACTTGGAAACAAACTCCAGGCCGCTCGCGCGCTCGACCACCTCAACCGGCACCTCGAACTCCGTCAGCCTCTTGTCGTTCGGGATCCGAGCATTGGGCAAAACAAAAGCCCCCAAGGCAACCTTTCCATTAGGAGAAGCGGGGCCCTCTTCGGCGTAGATAACCTTATAGAAGTGCGTCGGCACAGCAACATTAGGCGGGTTACCAATCACCTCGTACGACACGCGCCATTTGCCATCCGCCTCACGTTGAGGGAGATACAGGGGGCCGGTCACTATGCGAACGGAAGGATACTTCTTGGCCAGGCCGCGGCAGAACTCCTCGAAGTGCGCCCAGTAGTCCCGGTTGAATCCCTCGCCCACCTGGGGGCACATGTTTGTCAAGGCAAAAGTAGCGTCCATGGCTTCCTGAGACCATTTGGCGTCAGCTGCAGGCACCTGGTGGCCGCGATCGTAGCCAGAGCGGAAGTAATCGTTCAGTTTGGCGCGGAAGGCAGCGGGGATAGTGGTGTCTTCGAAGAAGGTGCTATGTTTGCGGTCTGCGTTCTTCATCGCCAACGAAGCCGGTGTGATGTGCTCGGCTACCCAAGCGGGATTGCGCGTGCGACGGTCGTATGCGCCAGCCAGAGGAGCTGAGAGCAGAGTATCGGCGACGGGACCGGGGAAGCCATATTGGTAGATGCCGGACGGGTCGACGGGCCCGGCGAGAGACTTGGCGGCGAGTGACGGGGCAGCTGGTTGGGTCGGGACAGGAGTGGCCGAGGTAGCTGGTGCAGATGGAGGTAGCTTCTGTTGCTGTTGCTGCTGTTGCTGTTGAGGCCGTGGGGAGGAAGAGGAATAGAGCAACGCTGTCAGGCCAGCTCCGGTGGCCGCGCTAGCCGCGGCGATTGCGGCAAAGGTCGCCTTGGACATGCCGCCGGGGGGAGTGAAGGCGGGGAGGTAGAGGCGGAAGAGGAAAAAGGATAAAAGGCGGCAAGACGAGGATGGGTTTGAAGATGATGATGAAAGTCCGGGGAAAACAGAAAACTGCTGAAGAGAGTCAAATTGAAGTTAAAGTGGATGGCCAATCAGAGGGCGGTAATCAGATGACATCCAGGCACGCGGCCTCAGGTACCGCACAAAGAACATACAGGACAAACTGCTCATGGCCTGTAAACGACGTCCACGGCGATATATCAATTACTACATCTACTACGAGAATGAACCAAGCATAAATATCTACCAAAAGACGCTCTCGTCTCTTTCTGTGTACTACACCGGGCGATCCGATGACCACCGCAGGTGAGCTCTGCAGCTGATCCAAAGCAAAGGACTCATATTGGTGTGTTCATGTGCATTCTCTCGGTTGAGGAGACTCAACAATAGTATGGAGAACAAGGCTGCTGCCTTGAGATCTGCGTCCATATCAGAGAAAGGGGGAACAACAATCGTTCCTGGAGCCTCCTAATCTGGGTAAATAGCCGGAAATAGTTTCCTAGGTGCGGAATTCTCTTTGCAACCCGATCGGAAATTCAGAAACGAACTATCGAAAGCAAAAGACGGGGTAAGTCAATGCTTTATTGCATGAGGAACCAATAACACTGTCAAACGATAGATCGCATTTCTGATGGATCAGAATGTGTACTTGTCCATAAACAGAGTTTCCCACCGCCCCCCGGAGAATTTGTCGACCAGATCTGCATTTCCTGGACGAATGCTCAGCCACATTCCACCGTCCCGTCGGAGGATATCGAGAATGCTCTACTTTTGCACACAGCCATCACTATGACGGGTGTAGTCTCACGATCATCGGATCTAGACCTCGCTAACTCTCTGATTGAGACGTCTGCCTGTCAACATATGCATCGGGTTTAGACTATGTGACGCCGCACTTCCCGTTTGGTCGGCTGCGGACGACCTGGCACAGTCTCCTTTCCTACACCAGTTCTCCGGCTGCTAATTGATTCCAGTGACCGTTTTCACGGACAAAATCCAACTATCTGCAGTTAGCCGCTAATCCCCCACGGAGAATAGTAGCACTGGTTGATCAACTGGTCTATCCAGTCATTACTCCAACGATTTGTCATGTACCTACGCTACCGTGGCCAGGTTCATAGGACCGAGCCCTCCGAGGCCCCAATTGGTAGATAGCCTCAGCGGTGTACAGATTTTGAGGTCTGCTTTGCTATTTTCGTAGAGTACAGTAAGTACTAATCATGTATAGTCGTCCAAGGGGAGGGGCAAGCCCGTCGTCATCCGCAATAAGCGCATCTCTTCTGACATGACTCGAGTTGCCTCTTTCAAGGCAGCAGTGAATTTGGTTCAGCTTTGCGCTTTCATGAAGAGTTTAGTCAAAGTGTGGGATAATCTGATCGCATCCTTCCTCTCGCCTCGGTCTTAACAGAAGGTAATAAGACCAGGTTGCTGGATGATACGGAGGACCTCCATGGAAAAAAGATCCACTCGCTTCACCAGGAAAGTCACTTGACTTTCCTGAAGTCGCATTCCAACACAACATGCAGGCAACCATTAATCAAATAAATTACTCTCGTCGATCAGTTGGTCGGAAAATCTCACAGATTCCAGATCCTTCAAAACAAAACCCTAACCAGTGGTGTGGAAAGGGGCACAAAAAGAGAAGGAACAATAAAAATAAATAAAAATAAATAAAAAATATTTATTAATTAATTAATTAAAAGATTTAAAAATCATATATATATATAAAGAAATACTAATTAAAATCAAAAATCAAATAAACTTATGAATAATACGAT